AAAAATAAAGCATCCGTTATAATAATTAAGTACTTTTATTACTATATTAAGGATTATATTATTAAGATTACTAAGCTTAAAATCCGTTTTAGTAAGCTCGAATTTAATATAATTAATAACGTATATAAAATAACTATTTTTAAGACGTAATTAATATAATTAGTAATACTAAGACGTAAAGGCTATTATTTTATATATTATAACTAAAATTTAAAAAATATTATTTACGTAGTACATAGCGCGAGTATAATAACTATCCTTTACTAAAGGACTTATAATAAGCTTATTATTTTTAATAATTATATTTAAAACTAACTTATTATTATTATAAAAAGTTTAAAAACGATTATATAAAGGAACTATTACTAAAACTAAGTTTATAAACGAGCTCGCTAGCTTAAAAAGAAAGTTAATAAAATAATTATTATTAAACCTCTACTTAGTACCTAGCTAAAATAACTACCCTTAAATTTAAAATTATCCTAAACGCTTAGCTATAGTTAACGTAAGTTTTTAAAATTAAAAGTAAAGGATTAGTACTTATCTAAACTTATTAAATAATAATAAATAAAGTATATTATAAAGAGTATATTATAGAGTTTTAAGGTTAGAATATATAAATAAAAAAAGTTAAGATAAAGAAAATATTAGTTTTAAATATAACTAAGACGGTTATTTTTATACAGGTATTTATAATATTCCCTTAATTATTTTATAATAATTATATATAATACGTAACCCTTATATATTTAAACGGCTTAACTATATCCCTCTTTATAAGGAGGAATAATTATAAAAATATACGTTTTATATTACTTATTTTTATTTCCGTATTACTTTTTATATTATTTTTAATTATAGTTTTATTTTATATAATACGTCTTAGTTATATAACTACTTAACTAGGCTGTAGTTTTACCCCTTTTACTAGAGCGCCCTTTGTTAGGGAGACTATATTAAACGTTCTTAAGGGCCTTTATTATTATATAAAAGTATTTAGTAGGGATATTACTAAGAAATTTTATTAAAGTATTAATAACTCTCTTATTATATTACTTAATAATATACGAACGCTTAGTAACTTTAATAAGTATTATACGGGCTAGTATACTTAATTAGCTTATTATAAATAAATATTAAGAAATATAAGATAATATATATATAGTAATAGTACTAATAATTAGTAAATATTTATAAATATTATTAATATAGTTATAATTATTATAACCTTTACTAGGTAATATTATATAGTTAATAAAAATACTTTTACTCTTTTATAATAAGTATACGAGGTTATAGCGGACTATATAACTCTATATATTATAATTTAGATAGTATTAATATATTACGAGTAACTTATACCTATATCTAGGGTATAATATAATTTTTTTAATAATCTTTAAATTAAGTTTAATCTAATAAATAGGTTAGAATATACGAGTTAATAAAACGTTATAAAGAACTATAAGATAATATATAACTTATTTTAATAGTATTAAAATTAATAAGCTTATAAAACGTAACTAAAAAATTAAATAAAGAGCTTATAAATAATATAAAAACTATATAATTAAAAGTTATTATATAAGGATATATATATTCTTAAAAATAAATAGTTATTTTTATAAATATAAAGTCGTTAGTATTTTTTAAGCTAATATATAAGAGCTTTTAGTAATTCTTTATTATAAATAGTAGCTAGAATATCGTATTTAGCTATTATTATAATATATATAATATATAAGAATATAAAGAATTATTAGGTCCTATATAAATTATTAGTATATATACTTAAGTAATTATTATAAGTAATTTTAAAAATATTAAATTTTAAATAAGATAAGTATACGTAATTATATTTATAATTATATATACTTAGCTTAATTAAATCTATAATTACTAATTTAAAAATAATATTATAAATTACGTAATTAATTTACGTAACTATACCTAATTATATAAAGTAACTAATTAATATTTTTAATTAATAAATTATAAATATTTATATTTATAATTGCGTATATAATTAAATAATTATACTATAAATAAAATAAAAATAATAAAAAAAAATAATATATAACAATATTATATAATATAATATAATTATATATAAGTAATTAAGGGGTATAAGTAGGTTACTTACCTCTCTAAAAAATATTAAGTTAAATAAAAAAAAAAAAAAAGGATTAGTAATAAAAATTAATAAAAAAGTATAAACCCGGGCGCCCTACTTTAACTACTTATTAACTACTTAACCACCCTTACATAACTTATAGTACTTTTAATAATATAAAATTACTTATTATATTATATAAGATTAATAATTTTATTTATTTATAAATATAATACGTTAATGTATTTGATTGTATACTTACCGTAGGTCTATTGGCAAAAGGTGTTTTGGCGGAGTGCCTCTTGTAGTCTGCCGTACCGTCGGGTGATTACCCCGCTTACTACTCCCATACTCAGGCCAGCCTCATCCTTACCACGATTAACCAGCTCCCCAGGGGTCGACTTCGAACCTGGTTAGATCTACGATGCTCGGCGTCCACTTATAAGCCTGCATGCATGCTCGTGGCTGGCTGAATCTGCAGACGACATTGGGTTCCACTTTCAGACATTGCTCTACATCTTACTGCCCAAGATGATCTGTAAAGTATCTCCTTCCCGCTCGTCCATGGTCTCCTCTGCGGGTGCCTATCTCGTCTCTCCATCGTTTTGTCAGGTCCCTCCGCCGCAGTTTCGCCTGTTAAGTCGCTTCTGCAAGGCATCCGCAAGTATCCATAGAGTCGCCAGGTTTGGCGTTAAGGTGGGCGGCAGAGATGGAGAGCCGTTTGCCGAAGCACGTTCTACTCAATGGATAATATGTAGCAACGCCAGCCGCTCGCTAGATTTTGATGCTACGAGGCATTCACTTTAATGTAGACTGGAATATCTATTCCAGCTCCAGTGTATAAGTGTAAGCGTAGGCAAGGGTCGCAAGCGCGGGTGACTCTTGGACACGTTTCCCCACCCCATGTTCTGTTAAAGGTACTTCAGTATGCGGATGCTCTACAAACCCGAAGCAATATCATGATCAGAATGGCCCTTGATACCATGAGACTCTTCAAGCAGATTGACGACTTCCACGCCATGCTCTTGGTCGTAACCTAGCACGCCGAGCATTGAGGTCGTCGAATGAAATAGGCGCACCCGTCCCAAAGCTCTCCAAGATTTCAGGCGAAACGTCCGCATGATTCACAAGAGGCTTTTCACCGACAGACCTGGACGCGGGAAACTATGTAGAGCCAAGCGGTTACTTACACGCAGAACTTCGAGGCTTTCGGGAATGTCTGGATACCTTCTATCTGATAATGGGACACTCTCTTCCTATCTCAGCTCTTCTCCTCATAGAATTTCACATCTTGCAAAGACACAACCGTCACCTCATCAAGTGCATCTTGTAGCCTCCTTTCTCCAATCGTTTCATGTTTCTTCAGATTTGATCAATCCACTCATCATTCTCCATGCCATACTCCAGAACTCGCTTCTCCAGCCATTCCACGACATCGTCTCTACCGGCGGCTGGAGCTGCGTCTTGATAGAAGGCGTCCCGGAGGAGGCGCTTCTCCGGGTCAAGGTCCTCGCTAGACAAGAGGTCGAAAATGGTCTCAGTATGGAATGCCTGGCCGTCCCATGTCTTCTTATTCAGCATTTGCATCCAAACATACTCCAAGTCGTCTCTCCAAGCCACTCTTCTGTGGTGTTGCTTGTTTCCCGGGCGACTGAGCTTGGCGCCGAGCCTGATGAGAATCCTGCAAGTAGCGAGTCGATTTTTCTCGAAGGCTATCATCAATGGCGTTCGTCGTTTCCCATCTCGAGGGCTGATGTCCAATCCACATTGGACCAGTCTCTCGAGGAGCGAGTATTCCTCATCAAGTCGCTCACTTTCTGTTGGCTCACGTACTGGGTGATCACGCGGCCTGACATCCAAAGCACGAGGTATCACCGGGCGAGATGGAGAGGTCTCAGGATCATATAGGATCCTGCAGATGCGCAGAATGGCCGAACCACTACCAGCAAGACTGAACCCTTGCTTTTTTGTATGCTTGGCTAGTAATCCCATTATGTCTGTCAGTGCCAGATCGACCTCGCGCTTGATAGCCCACACAGGGCCAGAGAAGAGCGGGTCCTTCTCTCGCTTGCTTGCCCATGAATCGACAGCAAAGAACAATATGCTTCTACCTGAAGTGGTCAAAGTGTTGGTGTGAAAACCTTGGGAATGCAAGAGTTCCAGGAGGTCGAGTTGAGAGCAGACAACTGTGATGTAACTGCGGAGTGGGTTGAATGAGATGCTTCGCGTGGTCTACACTAAGACCTTCATGAGTTTTGACATGTGGTGTATGTCGATCAAGTTGTTAAAGTATTTCTTCAGCTTAAATCCGGATGTTTGACTATGATATATTGGTGTTTTGTGGAAGTATGGGAGGCACAGTATATCGATGGGTCTCAACCCATCGAGCTCCAGTCCACTTTCGTGCATGAATTGCCCGGATCGATTACCATTGCCAAGGAACTTGCACAGCCAGAACTGAGGATGGCCTGTATCGGCGCAATTCCATGTGGAGAAGTGTCTCAAGCAGCCATCCGATGAAGCCTTCCGAAAGATGACGTTGGGATTTGCTCCAGCCTTCACCAGAAACAGAGATGTACCATAATCGGCCACGCTCGCAGTCTGAACAAGAAGTGTAGGAGTGTCGCCAAGATCAACGCTCATTGAGTCCAGAAAGTATCGTTTCGAAGCACCTCGCATAATGCCTGTGAAGCTCGCCATTTACTTAGATATTGAGGGTGAGGGTCAACGAATTGCCGAGAGGTGTGTTACCATCGTTCAAGGTGACAACCGTATTAATTGCAGCATCAGAACACACAAAGCCTGGCAACATCTGGTCCAGTTTCACGTTCCTGAAGAGACTGTCTGGATCCATTGATTCTTATATAAGGCGGTGGAGGGCTGTATGCTATTTTGTGGCCTGGTTCTCTGCAATAGGATATGCCTCCAGCATCAGTCTGACTGCACGGGGGTCTGAGCCTTTTTCACGAGCATACTCCAAAGGCGACGCCCATCTTCCACTTCTTCCAACATGCGGATCTACTCCATGGGCGAGGAGGAATTTGACAATCTTCTTATCGAACCATTCCTTGACGCACATGATGTAACCCGCACTCCAACCGTTGCCCGTCGTTTCGTGTACTATATTCGCGGCTTGTTCGACGAGCATCTTGATGGCACCGTATTGACGGAACCGAATGGCAAGATGGAAAAGTGACCATCCTGCATGTCTCAAACTGAGAAACATGAGACAATTCCTAGTTTTGGGGTTTGGAGAAAAGTAACAATCGGGTTTGTGGGTACCAGCACACAAGCAACTCTCGGTGTCCGACTCGCATTCAATGTCGCTGCCATCATCGATAGCCTCAACTGATTTGGGCGGTTCGAAATCTTCGAATTGTCTGAGGAACGTCAATTCCGCTTCCGGGACGTATGGGGTCTCCGGTGAGCCGACCCACGATGGGTATGAGATCCACACTGATTTATATTGGCCATGCTTGACTAATGCGTCCACGAGGCTCTGTTCTTTAGCAGCCATTGCAACAGCGAGGAAGAAGGGATCCTTCAGGAAACTTTCCTTCGGATCCATCGCCTTACAGAACCTGTAAGCTTCTTCGCTGCTGCCGAAGCTGTCGCGGGGATGGATTCGTGCCGCTTGAACCCTGATGTTCATATTTCCCCAGATGGCGTACCACTCTTTCCTCGTCGGTGCCTTGACGCCGTGTTTTAAAAGTCGCAGTGCGAGCTGATACATATCGAACCCATGAGAGAATAGTCTTGTCATGAGATTGAAACGTTGGTCGTCCTGACTGTTTCCATCGGCAAGTCCATGTGTGACGAGGCCCACCAAAGCAACCCAAATACGACGACTATAGTCCGTGTTGAGGTCGAGAATACCGCTGCTCATCACGTTTTGTAGAGCTTGGTTGCACCTGGAGCTATCATTGCCTTTCGGACGTTTGATGAGATGCTGGCGCAGCAAATCTATGCATTCCGAGTACGAATCGAACCATTCCCTGCTCTTGAACCAGCGAGACGTGAGGGTCGCACACTCAAGTGGCGTTAGGTTGTCGGTGCTAGCGGCGGCGGCATCCATGCCCAGTTCAAGTAGCGTCGACAGTGTCGTGACATTGTGCGAGTAGCATGCGATCTGTATCGGGTCTCGCTTTCCGACCGCTCGCGCTGGTGAGTCTAGTAGAAGACGGATGACTTCACGTTGCGCTGAGGAATCTGTCTTCCAATCGGGACCGCGTCTCCTAGGCCATGGAAGTCGTGAATCCATGGTCGGACGCGCAAATTCATCAGGCCTTCGTATAACGGGCGTAGGACCGCAGCAAATTTCGAGCAAGCCGCATTTCCTCACTCCGAAGGGCATGCGGATGCTCCTCTCATGATATGACAATCCGACTAGGGTACGTCTGTTGAACTCATCAAAAGTGATGTCGACCTTGGCCCCAGCTTTGATGAGAGCAATGGCTTCGTCGAAAAGTCCATAGAGGCATGCCTCCATCAAGATGGTATGCCCCTTTCCGAGATCGTGGTTGATATCGGCTCCATTGCGCAGCAACACCTTCAGAGCCGCCTCAAAGTTCTTCGCATCAGTCGCCTCCCAGAATGCCCTCCAGAGCAACGTCGCACCTTTGAGGCCTGGTTGCTTAGCATTGACAGCATCTCTCCCCGACCCTTGCTGCAAACACCACTCTGCAAGGTCCATGTGGCCGTGGCGAATGGCGGAAATGAATCTAGGGAGCACCTGCCATGGTTCTGTTGTTGCTGAATTGTTGAGAAGTCGTTCCTGAAGGTGTTCACAATGCACCATCATCCGTTTAGCCACATCAATCTGTCCGTGGCACAAGGCAATATGCAGTGGGGTCCACGCAGGATATCCCACCGTATAGTGGTCCCAGTATAAAGCCGGTCCCGGCACTTGGTGGCACTCGCTGCGACAGAAGCCTTGTGAAGACACATTCACAAGTGCGCCATATTCCAAAAGCAGCTCAAGAGCTTCCATGTTGCCCATTCTGGCAGCCATATGAACAGGCATCCAATACATGCCCAGGATGTCGATATTGTCCATGTCCTCGTCGTCGTGTTCCGGACAACCGAGATACCCTTCGTGCATGACGTGACTAACGTCGATCTCGCGCCTGCCGGGGTCGGTCGAGTCTGAGTCTGAGTCGTATTCAGCAACATCCGGCAGAGGAAATGGAGGGAACGATGCCACAGGTTCAGGAGCCGCAGCCATATCGGGGCCGTCTTCACTTCCAACGTCTTCGCCCTCCGAGAAGTCATCAGCGACCGAAGCGTCTTCTGAAGAGCCGTCTTCGAAAGAATTGTCATCGGCGGAATTGTCAGCGGAGGAGGCTACCGGCGCCAGACCGTCATCTGCAACAACATGCGCAACTTCCTCACCCTCGACTTCTTCTTCGCTCCCCGATTCCTCACCATCAGACGCTGAATCGTCATCAGACGAAGAATAGTTATCAGACGAGGAGCTCCAATCGTTATCGGATTCGATCCCTCCCCATAAGAACCCCTGTAAGTCTGCCAACTCCTCGTCTGTTTCAGCTTCGAGGTCACCGGGGGCCAACATCTCGTCCGTTATAGTATGCCTCCGACTTGGTCGTCCCTGGTACATTGCCTGGTCTTGGAAACGATGCCCGTCACGTCGATAAAATCGCCAAAAGAGCTCTTTTGACGATTCAGCCTTTGGGTCCCATGGACTATACTCGGCTTGAAATCGAATCATTGCAACATTAGGATTTGCCAGACTAGTGCGCAGCACCTTTCTCATGATTCCCACGTGAGAGATGTCGGTTGCCCAGCATAACAGATATGGATGGCGGCGCACGCCGTTCTCGTACAGCAATGGCGTTGCGACGACATTGAAGAATTTGTTCGTCCGGGCTAGCGCCGCAAGTGCAGCAAGCTGAGCGTCGGCATATTCGTAGCCGATGGGATCTTCTCCTGGGAAAAGGGTCTCTTGCCGCGCCAATTCATTGACAATGAATATCTTGACCTCCGGAGGGAGGTTATGCAGGTTCGTCATGGCCGAATCTGCCGACCCTACGACAACCAGCTGGTGATGTGGGCTTTTCCACCGGCTACCTATTGACTAAGTGATTGATTTAAGCGCGAGAGAGGAAGAGTGCGAGCGGCACGTTTGTCAAGAAATCAGGACGAAGTGATGGCGGTGTAAAAAGGAGGTTGTGAGACACTGCGTTCTGAATTCACGGTTTGATGAGATCTCTTCATTGATGACCCCTAATATCTAATTCAGGCGTTGATTGGTGCAACACGCGACCCGGTGACCAGGGGTAGGACTTTATATTAAGTTATGAACGGCAAAATCTACGTCTAGCCACACTAGCAGGGAAAAGTACATGTGGCTGTGCATCGACATAGCAACATCAAAATCTGCTTTTTTGACAGCAACACAACATCATGGGTGAGCTGCAAATAGATTGCCGCAAATGACAAAAGGGAAGTTGCCCAAAGCCAGAATCGAACTGGCGATCTTCTCATGTCGGAAACGATCGCCTCAAGACTGAAATAATCCTGAAGTCGACGAAGATACTAGTGAGACGCTTTACCACTGAGCCATTCGGGCGATTGTCCATGAAATCTCTAGACGGTGTGGACTATCATGTGGAGCCAGAACATTTTGTCCAATTCTCTTTCGTCTCCCCATACGATCGTGACGAGAGGCTTCCACTGGTCGAACCTGCTTCACACTCCCAACCCTGCTTGTGACACTAACACCATCAATCGTCCAAACAGATCTTGCAGGTTTGGCTGCCTTTGAGCAGTGGTTGGTTCGAATGTAATACATCCTCAATGCAATGTTCCTACTGGCATGGCTCATATTCTCTTCACAAGCTCGGTCCACTTGATCGCATGCTTGACTGCATTAAATAATGTGGACACTCCTAAAGCACCACCGCGAAAGCAGGCACCTGTAATTGGGTGGAGCCCGCCTTGTGCCCTCAGGTCCTCGCCGCAGCCAAGCTACCTCTCGGAATAAACGTCTACGAATAAATCACGATCAAAGATTCTATAGGGTAAACCCTCTGAAGACTGGTATGAGCAGCGTCTGAAGTGTACATGATCTAGTGGTGGAAGTATTGACGAGTGATGGGGCCCTAGAAAGGTTGCGAATTCAAGATCAGTGGTCCTACATAATGCGACAGACAGCCCATTTTTGCATCTTGAGTTCTTTATAAGTGACCTTCCAGCGCTGTGTCGCCCACAGACTTACCAGTCAGCTCTGGAGCAACAAATCTTGAAAACTTTTCACGATAAGTCTCCAGCTGGATCAGTCACTCGACAGACTCGTGCAAGTAAGACAGTGACAAAATGCTGATGCTTCAAAACGCGAAGTCCCAGAATCAACACCCGGTCACTAATATCGAGTCTTTCAGTTGTTCTTAGCCACGATCTTACGTGTAGAGTCTTTGGAGCCGATCTTATATCATATCCGCAAACCCGCATGGCTGCAAGTTCCCTTTTGTGACAGCAAGCGTTATAACTTGGGGCGTGCTACATATTTTCATGTTTTGAATCCCTGTCGTATGGTCATATGGTCCATAACCGTTGAAACTCGGTGGGAGCCGGTCGATTAGTAATCGACCCCTTGCCTTCAACGACTGCCTGGAACTGACTCGGGAACCATACGTGTCGAGATACATCATAGGAGGGCAAGTCAACATCTGCTTATTGTTTCTTTGCATGGGAAATCGTGTTCTTTGCATCATTGAAAACCTGAAAGAAAGTCCGTGGACCGTAACGTGGATTCTCTAAAGTCATCACCACATCTACGCTAGCAATCCAACCTTACCATTGAAAGAAATGGCGAGATCATTCTTTGCAAGACTCTTCCAACCGATCTGGTCCAACGCGGCTTCACAAGGGTTGCAACCTTCTAGCAATGACACTCCTGAGAGCGCGTATGACGAAGTTGAACCATGGATCAAGACCGACTTGGATATACCTATAGATGCAACCAACCGCGACAGATGGCCTAGCCTCATCTTGCAAGCCCGAAGGCATATGAGATGCCACCCCTATCATCCAAAACGCCTCCCTAGAGGTTATCAACCTTTCCGCATGGTCGTGGACTCTCCAGACGACGAAGGCGAAAGGTCAAGAAAGGAAGTCGATATATCCGAACCGCCTACGTTCCCCCTGTTCACGGAACTACCCAAAGAGCTCAGAGACAAGATTTTGCTATCATCACAGGCCCCGATCGTCATGGAGGGCTTCTCAGTAATGGACCAAGAATGGAGAGGGGGCCCGCAAGCACACTTTCGCTCGTACAGATCCTGGCATCAAGTACCTCTCTACGCCGTCAGCCGCGAGACAAGAGCGATGGCCATCACCTTCTTTGGCGAACCGGATCCGCTCTCTATACCGTTTAACCCGGCTCAAGACGCTATCCTCTTGGATTGGGATAGTTCCAAGCAGGCTGAGCGCGGCTGGACGGGCAACCACAGAAGCCCCGGGCCCGTACTGACGACTCGCCGATGGAACGCATCCGAAGAGTGGGCGATGCCGAAGGATCTGTGCGATAGAATTCACCACGTCAAGGTCGACGCACGCTACGCCCCTTCCGAGAATGCTGATAAAGGAGAGAAGGTGTCTTGGCGGCTTGTGTTTGGACTTCTACAAGAGCACTTCCCTAACATTACGATATTAGAGGTGAAGCTGTCGGACTTGGACGACAAGAGGTTCGAAGGGACGTACGATGCGGTGGGTCAGGAGCTTTATCGGATTGATCAACTGGATCTTTTTGACGAGCTGGAAGAAATGTCTAAAGATGAGCGGGTACCGTTCCAGAGCTTAAGGCGCTTCATCGTTACACCGGAACTCCAGACTCCTCTTCAAGCCGAGAGAGAAATTCTCAAGTTTCGAAAGGTGGGGGGCAGCCATTTTAAAGTCTTGAGACAGGGCCAAATTCCCAAGGTTGGATAGTGAACCATGTTTCTACGAGATGGTAGATTGATCATGCGCGGGACCTCAACTGGATAGTATCATTTGGCCAAGTCCTTTTTTGAAATTTCCGGCCTACTAGATATCTAGTACTAATAAATACTTCACGCTCCGTCTTATAGACACCTCTCAACGCCGTTGTATGAACGAGCGACCTGCCTAAACTACTTATGCAAGTTTCCGCACTTCCTATTCAAAACTGGGTGAGCTACAAGTAAATCTCCTGACGTCCAGACTTCAAGAAATCTGGCTATCATTCCGGACGTTTGTACTCAGAGGCAGTGATCCTGAAGATCTGATCAAATTTCCACAGAGCGTCCGAAAACTCGTCCAAATCCCTCACATCCGCACCGCTTTCGAGCAGCAGTCTGGCCGTCTTCTCGGCGTCACCGCGCTCGTACCTAAAGACCTCCGACGTACGCAGAGCAACGACAAGTGGAGGCAAGTGTCCAATCCTGCCCAAGGACAGCCAACGTCCACCGGTAAGGCCTGCACCAGCCTCCAGCAGGGCGCGGACAACGTCTACCTCCCGGCCCTCAGCTGCGATAGACAGTGCCGTCCGCAGGATCATCTGACCAAAGGTGTCAGTCAAAGTCGGTGCTATGGACTTTACGAACGCCAACCGCGACGCGTGCCAGGCCTGGTCTCTCGCCTCTGCTTGGGCGTTGCCTCTCGCCGAATAACGTAATAACCCATATGAAAAGGCGTGCAATCTCGGCAGACACGCGATCTCCAGGGGCGTGAAGTCCTGGATCTGAAGACCGTTGCCGTTGCACCTCATGTGGTATACGCCACCCTGCCAGAGAGGCTGTTGGACCATTACAGGCACGCCGGCTTCAACGAACGCCGTAGTTGGCGAAGCCCCGACCGAGAGGAGGACACGCGCCTGGTCGAAAAGGCCCATGTAGCAGGCCTCTATGAGAAGCGTGTGCCCCAAGCCGCGGTCGTCGTCAACGTTGGCCCCGTGAAGAACGAGCAAGGCAGCCCAATCCGCGAAGAAGTCTGGCCGTCTTTTCACGTCGATTGACAGAGAGAAGGCATGCATGAGAGCGGTGCGGCCGTCCATGTGCATCCATCTTACATTGACGTCGGCGCCAAAGAAAAAATAATTGTCAATGATCATGTAGTAGTTGTGGTTGTGGAAGGATAAGTGTCGAAGGAAGAACGCCGCCACCCTCAAGAAATCATGGTCTATGAGACTTTTCAGGGTCAGTCTCGTGTAAAATCGAGCAAGGTAACCCAAGTTCATAGCTAGCGCTGTCGGCAGGACTCTCAGCAGCATCTTTTCGTCGTCGTGGTCAAGAGCCATGTCGCAGAGACGCCAATATACCCCACGTGTCCTTCCTTCTGCGTCGAGAAGTTCAGGATTGAGTAGTATTTTCCAGTTGGGCTTGTGGTTGCATAGTAAGGTGAGGGCTTCGTAGTTGGCTTGATGGACCGCGATACTGACCGGTGTCATACAAAGCTCGTCGGGCATTGCTCGTCGGAGGCGGTGTACTTTTGCAGCCGGTTTCGTGTAGCAACGTGTCACGAAGATCTCATCAAATTCTTGGAAAAAGAAGCGCCTAAAGATGTTCGCTGGACTAATTAGAGACGGTGGATAGGACAGCAGTCGACTGGCAGGTTGAATATCGCGAATCTTTGCATTCTGGTTTGCTCCCGCCTTGAGGAATCTCTTCATGAGATCCAGTCTGCCGAGTACGGTGGCCCAATGGAGTAGATAAGGGTGTCTGTCAACCACCCTTTTGTGATAAATGGGGATGCAGCAATTATAAAAGCCTTTGCACGTTCGAGATAGTGCGTATATATCATCTACTACTCGAACGTCGACGCAATGAGCAATCCTCTCGATGATTTCTGTTGGAAGAGTGGACATTGACGTCGCGGCCGAGGCCGACGACGCTGTCTCAACTTGAAGGGGAGCATCACTGAGATGCTCTGCTGCCATCCTTTCTCTTGTCGGAATGTGTTGATTCGGTAACCAATATGTTGCTGAAAGTGGTAAGATGCATGTGAAGGTATTATCGGTTCCGATTTCTAAAAGGCGACTTGCGGGAATGTAATTTCTTACAGGTGAACAAAGCAGGCGACATTTAGTTTTCAGATCGAATAGCTTGATCATGAAGTTGAAGATGGACTAGTTGCCGCGGGCTCTGGAGGATCTAATAAAGACATTGTACTGACATTTCGGAGATACTTGCCGTCTCATTACCTCGACGGAATTGATTTGCAGGTGTAAGAGGAACTCTTTGGTGGCGTTTCGGAGATGGCTACGCTATCATCGATATGTTCAAATCACAAACATTTTCAGTCAATCAGACCGTTGAGGTTGCCGTCATGCTTTCCTAGATTATCATCGACCATGGGAGCGAGCGTGACATAAACTGCGGCCCCCTTCAAACAATAAAGCCAAGAGAAATCAACCATATGCCACACAATGGGAGCCGCCGAAATTCCCATGATGTTCTTCGCCAAAACCATTTTTCTCTTCACAACAGAGTCAGAATAACCTTGCCGGCATAATGTATGGTCTGGATAACGTCTGTCCCAACAAATCTATCTCCGACTAGGTCCTCAACGCAGATATGACTGATACCACAGCCATCTCATTTACCACCTCGTCGCATGTCCAACAAAGCAACCGGATACGGATGAAGCAAGATGTTGGCTCAAATGTTGTCCAATTTAGGCCCAGGAACGACTCGGAACTTGTAGTTTGATCAAGTTTGATCAAGCTGTGATAGTACGACTGAGTAGACAGGGCCGGCCGCGGGTACATAGGTACTCAACCCGCGACAGAATAAGCGTGAGGTGAGTGTCACAATATCGCGGCAATGTTGTTGACAAGTAAGTCTACTCAGACAAGGGACAAGAATGTGAGCCGTTCTCGAGAACTTGAACTTTGCAAGACAAGTTGTCACGATAGCATCTGATTAAGGCACGGCCTGGTGTCTCGTACTACGATGGCTATTCTCATTCCGTGACGACCTCAAGGGCAACTATTCTACAGCCACCTCCGGCATTCGATAGCCTATTCCGCACCATCCACATTATAGGACCGCACCATGATAGGTACTCTGTCCGACCCAGCCTACTCTAACAACAATCTTTGCATAGGATGTCATCCTCACCTTCCATACTTGATCCAGACAGCACACCCTCCCACAAAGAAAATCCCTAACAGTATCAAATTCGTCAATACTCCCTCAACCCACCTCTTAATCGCCATCTCCTCCCTTGCCTTCCACCCGCCCCCAGGCCCAGCGGCATTCGCGTGCGGGAACGGCACATCGGGCACCTCTTTACCCAGAAACTTGCACAGGGGCTCCCATCCTTCATCGGCGGACCACTCGAGCAGGCGGTCAGCGGGCACCATGCCTCGGATCATATCGCAGTGTTCTATGCGTGTTTCCATGACGTTAGTCCCCGTCATCCCATGAGAGATTTTCCTGCCGCCAGACCAGACTCCAGTGACGCACGTGCTGAAGAGGCTTGTGCTTGGAAAAAGGAATAGAAAAGGCTTGAACGCAGTAAAAAGAAAAACAAAAAGGCTTGATCCCCCCAAAAGCAATATTGAGCCAACATCAAAGCAGTAGCCGAGACGAGAAGAAGAAAAACACTCACCACGATAAACCCACTTGCCGTTCCTCCTAATCGCTCTCGCCATGTCCCCATCCGGCGCCCGGAAGAACAAGGCCCACAAGAACCTCTCATAGACGTGCCACGCCCAAAACGCCTCACGATCCAACAGACTCGACACCCAGAAGCTCCAGCTCTCGTTCACGTGCACCAACGTCTTGACCGCGCTCTTGTGCCACGAGTCAAGGTCCCGCCGCACGTTGAGAACAACTTTGGCCTCAGGGTATGCTCGGATCATCTCCGCCGCAAAGCAGCTCGCCGCCGCGTCCGTCACCGCGACGCAGTGGCCCAGCAGCTCGTCAAATTCCTCGGCCGTAATCTGGCAGTCGCCTTCTGATGATGTGTCATCAATCTCTTTTCCTCCTTTGCGTTTCGGCGAGGATGACCCGCCGCCGCCGTACCACTTCTTCCGAGCAAGCTTCACCCATCCCGTAGCAGGAATCGGCGGGTCGTCGTAGACGATATCCCAGCCGTGATAGGTATGATCGTACCCGAGCGCGAGTAGGGCCTGCTGCAGGGACTCGGTAGCGCTGCGCGGCGGACCGACGCAGAGAACCTGCATCGGCTTCGTGCGCTTGCGCTTCGGCGGTGGTGGGATGCGGTAGACGTGGTTCTCTAGGAAGCGCCACCACCAATGGTCGAGACTTGACATTGGCGAATGCATGGCGGCACGGCACGTTTTGTTTCGTTCCGTTTCGTTTCGTTGGCGGTAAATTCGTCTCCCGCGGTCACTAATTTAGTCCCGCGTCTGTCAGTTGTTCCCGCAGCTCAACCCGATGTTTCTCGCGGGTATTTCGTCTCGTTCGGTTAGTCTTCGCTATGAATCCTGAGTGTCTTTGGGCGCCGGTGATCTCAAGATTCCCAAAGACCGAAGATGAGCTGAGCTGCAGACGAAAAGAAGCCACAACCGAGCGTGCATATGTTCGTGCCGCAGACATCAAAACGTGCGACAGCTCTCGTGTTATATAACAGCAGAGAGCTCTCAACCCCAGTAAGGTCACTCCACCGAGAAGAAACAGGAGACATGTGCTCACAGACAATGGAAACGTTTTGTTGGAGACCATCGTGCCGTCATAGCGTTTGGAGAGCTGACTTTTTGGTTTCTTCTCCTGCTACAATAAGTAGCAAGCAAGCAGCAGGAAGATTGCATGAACCATCCCTACAAACTCCGAGAAAGAAGGAGGGTTACTTTACAAAACGCTGGCGCGGAAGGGGAGAACATGGGTATCGGATGAGGGGGAGAAGCACAGGAGCATGAAGGACAGCCTCTGCACGGCGCACAGCTCGGCCGCGGTGCCCTCGCCTTCCCCACTTCCGATACCTCCGCAAAGCGTCAGCACTTGCGAAGTAGAAAGCTTGCTTCCAGGACAGCTCTGCGTGATCAGAGAAGTGAACTAACTTGACAGACGTCTGTTTGGAACTTGAAAATGCCTTGGTATAATGTGATGCGCCGGCCGAACGAGGCGAGCCTTAGACGAACCGTGACGTGTGACGGGGCCTATACATGAACCGAGACAAGCCTGCCTTTCAGGCTGTCAACCTTCGGTCTCGGCTTTTCAGCCATGCTTGCAAACCCAGTATCCCGTCTTGCTCCCCTCTGCTGATTCTAATGACCGCCAGAACTTGGTCCATCCAGGGCGTCCGTCGCTCCGCAGGTATTCCACTTCTTTGACCTCGCCCTCGCTCTTTTGGCTCTCTGCTGAAAGAAGTGCGGTATAGAGTGATTGATAAAACAGAACCTGCTTCTCGATCTCGACTGGCATCGCGTCAATGGGTCCCAAGATAAGAGACTCAAGCTCATCCGTGTCCACCTCACCGAGAGTGGAGATGAGGAGTGTTGTCACATTTGGTCGAGGAACCGGGACCCTACGAACGGAGCCCTCAAAAGAAATGTGTAACCGACGGAGGGCAGGAAAATTTGGCGCGATGCTTTTGATGATGTTCAGATACTGATCTCGGGGGCTCAGTGCGCGAAGCTCAGTGATTGTGGGTGCTCCAGGTGCTGGCCGCGGGGACTTGTCTAACGATTTGTCGACAAGGGACTCATCACGGTCCGGTATGCGTATTTCTAGCGATGTGATCCAATTGAGCTGCGGCGTAGCGATGGCGTACGGAAAATACATAGCCTCAAGCCTCTGCTCGAACTTGAATGTGTTGCTCGCGTACAAGACCTGTATCGTCTCTTCGTAGCTGTAATTCAGTCAGTATTGGTCATCTGATGTGACACAACCGCTGTTGGCCTAATCTCTTTGCGTCACGATGAACTCGCCCAGGCGCGGAGAACAAACTCACGCTCTTCGGCATGTCAGCAGCCACGGGAGTATACCCAGGTATGTCTCCTTAGGACCACACGTCTGGTAGAACCCTCTAGGACACTGATCAGACAGTTTGGTCTCGAGCTTCCGGTCCTCGGGGCCGCACACGCAGCTCCACCAGTACCACTGCGGTGTCATACTCGCATCGGCAAAAGGCGGATCCATAGGCGACACGCTCGGTGAATGGGGATACCAAGCCGGCACAGGCTGATGGCCTTTCCTCCATCTCACATCTGGCTGGAGGCTGCGGCGATACAGTAAGTAGAGGTGTAGAATCTTGCGGCCAAAAGCCAGCTGGTAAATCTGGTAGCGGAGGTCGGATGAGAGGACCTCAAAGAACGGCCCCGCAGAGCCATCCGCACGCTTCTTCGCTTCCCTGGACGGCTGCCGTGTCCGAATGGGCAGGGAAATCTGATACCCGGCGACGGCCTCGGCGTCGGGAGTTGCTTCGGCTCGGTCGTCTCCCTTGATCGACGTGGCCGGGACTGCGTCCGCATCCGGAGCGGTAAGAGGCGCGTCGCGCGGCATGGCCCGCGGTAATGTGTCGCGACCCAGGGTTGGTACTTGGAGGGGTAGTTCCGACATGGCTGCTGGGCGCCGTAATGGCAGAGCAGATGGCGGCGTAGAACTTGATCAGTTTGCCCGACTATCTGCTGTACTTGTGGAAGTTAAGAGAGCGAGAGATGTTGCAGGAGTAAGGAGACCGCGAAGGTAAGGCAGCAGGTGGTCTTGCAGACTTGAAGTACCGCCTAAATGAACCATCTGGACGCCGGGCATGACTCCGAGAAGGTCCCGGAGCGGTGCGACTGCCCTGAATTTGGCGATAAGGCGGTATTCGGTACGTATTTTTCATCAGGTCCCAGTCTCAGGTGGGTCTCTTACACAGTGTGAAAGCCAGGAGGGAAAGAGCAACTAGGCGGACCACAGGTGGCTTCCTCACAGTGTTCGAACTGTACCCCTGAATCCGGCCACTGAAGCAACCGCAAGCGGCCTCAAGTCAAGAACGCAGATGCGTGTGAGAGGATTCAGCCATGAAGGCAACTCTGGAATAAATCAATCGCTAAGGCAACCCGGATTGGCGTCGCATCTTTGAGGGCTCAACCTCAACTTTGTCAAAATATCACTGGCGAGTCAGCCTCGGGAATAAGACAGATGATTCTCTTAATGTTCGCGTCATGACAAGAGCCTGAGACTATGCTAGCAACTTTCCCCAGCATCACGCCCCTGAACTAATGGCTGTCGGTGATTATCAGGCCTCAGAGCCTCCAAAAATCTTCCAAGCAAGTAACATTCTCGCCCGTCCACCTTTGTTTTCTCGTTGTCTCTTTCTTGTACATGCTCATACATGAGCGGTAAGTGATTAGAAACCCATCGTGATCAGAACCCCAACGACGATGCCAATGCCCGAAACTGTGAGCCGCTGCGCTGGGCTTTGAGTCACGACGGCTGGAGTGGGTGTCGCGGTGGCAGCAGGAGGGTCGTCCGTCAGGATGAGAGTCTGGAACATCGGTCCATCGGGAGTCGATGTAGCGACGGGAACAGTGACATTGCCGGGAGGAGGAACGGCCACGGGAGGGTCGTCGTACGGGGTCAGACTGGTGACACCGGGGTCGCTGGGAGTCGTCTGAGATGGCGAGGACGGGTTGGTGTACGTCTCAGTCATCGGCGCAGCCGGCGGTGCGGTAGCCACAGGAGGATCTGACTGGACACTGCCGTAACTCTGCAATCCAGGGGTGCTCTTCGGCGGGATATGAACGACGACCGTCTGAACGACAACTGTGGGAGCTGAAGGAGATGCTGGCGCCAGAGTAGTGGGAGTACCCGACAGCACGGTGCAGGAAGTTGTCAGACCATCACTGCCAGGCGTGACACTCTGGATGATGACGGTAGATCTCGTGGCCAGTTTCACGGTACGGGTGATGGGAGGGAGTCGGATCGTGGAGTACGTGATGTCTGAACCCGGATCACTGCCAGCTGGACCAGTCGAGGCCGGGCCAGCAGGAGACGGATCAGAGGGGGGCGGCATCTCGTTGCAAGCCTTGTACACATTGGCATAGCTGCAAGTTGGCGGGTTGAAAAATCCACACTGGCCGAGCGCAGTGTTGCGGTTGCACGGGTAGCTACAGAGAGCCTCGTTCACGACTGGGAAGCTCTGGATGCTGCTGCCACAACGACAACCACTATTGCGGAGGAACACCACATCAGTATTAGAGTACAATCGTGATGGTAGTGTAGGGAATGTCCAAGCATATGCCCAGGAACATGACTTACTCGGGGAAAGTAGCAGCGTAGTTGCGACCGGTGCAAGCAGACTGGCACTGCTCAGGGGTGTAGCCTTTACCAAAGTCGACAAAGGCGTCGAACTTGTCCGAGGTGACACTGACGCATCCGATATACTCGAAGCCGTAGATGACATGGTTGGCCTGAGCCGCGACCATGACAGCCACCAGCAAGATGAGGAGAGGCTTCAACATATTGCGCGGTTGTCGGGAGTAACGAGTGGAGGTAGTTTCGCCTTGAAAAGGTCGGAAATTGGCAACGTCTTAGTGAAGGTGCAAGAAACGAGTGATGATGGACTCAGAGTTGGGAATGAAAGAGTGTCCGAAGTGTGTGATTCTGTGGAGGGTTGGAGGAATTTGTGGGAGAAAAGAGGCGAGACCTAAGGATCCGTGAGAAGAGGCAAGAAGGGGATGCCTCAACCTTCTTCTGTTAACGTGAAATTGTGGAAGGCAGGAGTAAGGTACATGAAGACGGGAATACGCGCCTTCCTCACCTTCGGGCCCCCCTCACCTTCACAGATACGTACTTTAATACCATAGGAGGCAGGTAGGCACCCGCCCTACCTTAGCTCGCGGGAAAGAGACATATCAAAGATGGGGCAGAGTTGACATCACAAAATTCGAAGGAAGAAATGGCGAAGAAGATGCCTTTGATTCTCTGCTCGGTCTACTTTGTCACGGATGGAAGGGCTCGGCCTGAACAGCCCATGCTCTTCCATTCCTAAGTTCCAACACCGCCGCAGAATGCTAGCAACCGTCAGAGCTCTCCTTGATCATCATGATACCCTCGAGGTGTGTGAAACCTCCAAGGGCATTTTAGAGCCAGTGATGACGGGCAAGGAGCGGTTACGGCGTAAGGGCCAAAACACGGCATCCCACCCGTCCGTGGCCGATCGAGTCTTCATCACCCGATTGCGTACACATGAATGTTTCCTCCGCCGCCAGACCTATCCTCGCTGGAGCCCATGCGGCTCGCTTGCTCTAGTCCCCAAGTCAGCAGTTTAGTGCTTCTTTCTTGACGACGCAGAGACGAGCTTCTTCTTGACGCTCTTGGGAATCTTCTCCTTGCGCTTCTCGCGCTTGGCCTCCTTGACCGCTTGCTTGTGTTGCTATGTTGTGTTAGTCACGTTACTTCTCGTATACCACGCGATAGGACTTGCCTTCTTCTCCTCCTTGTCCTCGTGCTTGCGCCCCCTAGGCCGGCCCTTGTCAAATTTGGAATCGTCCTCCTCGCCACTGGCCAGAGAAGCTCCGCTGCCCGACTCGTCCTCTGACGTTTCTTCCTCCTCTTCCTCTTCCTTCTCTTCATCCTTGACGACAGTATCGGCCAAAAGGTTCTTGTAGACAAGCTTATCACCATCACCCTGCCCGATCTTGGCGGCATCCTTTTCAATGTCGTAGACTTGCTCGAGGGTCTGGGGAATGTACTGTTTCCGGAAGACCTCGTTGTCAACCTCCTGCTCGGCAGCAGCCTCCTCGTTGTCCGCGGGTCTGTTAGTGTAAAGCTGCTCGATAGCCTCGCCCAGGGCAGGCTCCTCAACAGGACCGTCCGTCGCGGAGATGAAATCAAAGATGCTGCGGTCGCTGAGCGTATCGACGCCCTTTCTCCTGAAGAAGTCGCCAACATTCTTGATATCCATGCGCAAAAACTCCAACGCCCGCGGGTGATCGGGCTCAACACTCTGAGATACATCAATGATGTACAGCTTTCCGGCATTGTACAGGATGTTGTACTCGCTCAAATCGGCGTGGACGAGCCTGCAAATCTGATATATCCGACGCATGAGGCCCAATAGCTGAACGTACAGTGCCCTCCACTGTTCTTCGACGTCGTCACCAGTCAAGTTGGCGTCCCTCAGACGGGGATAAGCCCATCCCTTCTTGTCACCGAGGAAACCCATGGCCAGAACGTGCAGCTTCAAGCTGATGGGTTCTGGGCACGGGATACCCGCAGCGTGTATTCTCCTCAGGTTACGGAACTCCTTCTCAGCCCACAGCTTGACCATCTTTCTGTTGCTGCTCTTGTCGAAACCCTTCTGGAAACGGTGCTCGCCAGCGATGTATCTTTCGCGATCCTTGAAGACGAGAATCGAAGTCTTGTACACCTTGATGGCGCGCTGAACATTGGGACCGTCTCCCTCGGGGTGCAGAATGGCGTGGTAGACGTTGGCCTCTTTTCCAGTGCTAATGGCACCGTGGATCTCACTGACGATGCCGCGGTTGATCATCTGCAGGAGGATCATGCGCGTACGCTGATCCAGAACCTGCTCACTTGTCGCGCGATCCGCCTTGTCCTTACTCTTCTCATCGGTATCCTTGACACTATCCAATCTGATCTTGGCAGCATGCTTGGAGAGTGCTGTGATCTGGTCGTCGACGCTCGACTTGGTATTGGCGGTCGGTCTCTGGACGTTGGAACGCGGGACGGCGTTGTCGTTGCTGTTGAACATGCGCTGGCGGTTGTAGGACTTCGTCAGATCGCCAGAGTCGGCAGTCCAGTCCTCGTCGTCGATCTCTTCATCCTCGCCAAAGACGTCCTCCAAGTCGTCGTCGTCTTCTTCCTGGCCTGCGGCATCGTGGGGCACGGTTCTCAGCTCGGCGGGGATGTCTTCGGTCTGTTCGTAGCCCTGGTTGGGGCGGTATGTATAGGGGGGCTCATGGGGAGCAGCGGGAGATTCGTTGGAAGCCATATTGAGCGCTTCTCCTTTGGATTGGCGGCGCTCGTGATGTGACTTGTAGATCGGTGTCTTGGTGTTGACAAGAGGCTGTTCAAGGTAGAAGCAGGTGCTTAGAACATGGATGTTGAGTACCCCTCTGCCCCTCCATCGTCGCCCGGGATTTTCGAATTTTTTATCTTATCAGCGGTGGCGGGCGTGGCGGGGTCGTTGGACTCATTTTTGGGGTGCAACTGGGGTCCGTGCCCAATGATGAGTCAACACCACGGCGAGTGACTGCGGTTTCTCAGTGAATCAAGGTGAATCACCGCTGGAAATTTGAGAAGGTGAGCACTAAAAACGCGCTCGCTAAAGAAATAGGCGAAGCTCGCGCCGCATCCGACAAGTGGGTCCAATTGACTTGCGTTCTAAGTCAGGTACGAAGAGGTACGGAGTACCTGCACCTCCCGTTAATTCTCCGGGTGTGATGAGACACCTCAGGCGCTGACCGCCAACTTCAACTCGTGACAAGACAACACACCGCGAGCTGAGAAATGGACGCCCAACTCCACCTCGACATCACCTCAATGCGGCAAGGTGCCTGACTACCTATATGCAGCATGCAACATGCATACAACGCATCTCATCATGGATCGTCTCAAGGTTGCGTCTGCCGCGGCTTGCGAAAGTGACCGACTCGGTCCACGAACAAGCCAACGGGATTCCGAGATGTCGCCTCGGATGTGGTTC